CAAAATAGTTTTTTTTTGGATGAAAGAAAATATTCATATTAGTGTTTGGATGGCTGGATGCTTAAACTGTTACTTTTTGCAAATTAGCTCCTTCAATTGATTAAATGAGCTGTTTGGAACATTACTTATTCTGGAATTGGTGAGGAAAGTCAAATCGCCCCTTCAGATATTCTTTAGTAGTGAATTAGTCTATTATTTATTAATAATAAATCAATATACTTAATTGTGTTAGTGTTCTGCCTTCTCACTAAACAAGTCATTTGCTCGAAACGTTCAGTTAAAGGAATGTTAACAAAAGTGTTTGAAACTAACTTAATCTAAGGAGGGAAATAAAGGGAAACAAAAGAATTTTTGGTTAGTTTTCCAAATAGGAAACAAATAAAAGGTGGGTAAACAAATATGGGCAAACCATTCAAAAGGTCAAATGATCAAGTGTAAAGTAGAAACAGTAGAAAATCAGTTGAGTTGAAAAAGAGAAGTAGACATAATTGTAGGACGTAGAAGAAACAAAAAGGAAACTGAGACTAGTAGGATTGTACAGGAGGTTGTAGGGTCTCACCAATACTACTGGTTTATGACCAGCATCTGCTAAATATTTTGCAGTACATAACCCAGCCAACCCTGCAAGCCACAAAATACCCAACAACAAATCAAAAAGCCAAAATAGTTTCCATTACAATAATAAACATCTGCCCTTTCAAAGTTCACTTGTCCTGAAACCATATATAAATGAAGTGGGATACGGCGCACACATCAATGAAGCCATTGTACACTAGAAAATTAAAGGAAGAAATTCAATCACATCCAACAGGTGGCGTTTTAAGTAAAGTTTAATTTGGTTGTGTTTGCTGGTTTCTACAGGAAAATAGCACCATTTCAGTCATATTGGTAAAGCAAAAGCTAAGCTAATTATTCTGCTTAATAGGTTGATATGCAGATATAATAAGTTGATAATGTCCATAAAATGTTAAATGCTGCTTCCTTGAAAATATGAATATTAGTGTGTGGAGGGCTGGATGCTTAAATTGTTACTTTTTGCACCCCCCAAAACAATTGAAGTTTTAGAAAAGTACACAAATAGTAAAAACATTATTTTAGAAGGGTTTGGATACCTGATACAAAATAGGGAATAAAGTTGTATTTCCTTATCTCTGCAGTAAATCATGTAGAAATGTATTCATATGGCAAGAAAACTAACAGTGAGTCCTAAATACATGGCACTATATCAACTGCGCACTAGCCTAGGAAATAAGGTGAACAATTCAAAATAACTGAATATGATATCCGAAGGAATATCTCTGGTTGTTAAAGGGAAAAGATTCAAAACAAGAGGAACGGGAAAGATTGGAAGTTCGCACCTTCAGAGTGAAAGCACGCGCCCATCACGACCATCGGGAAAGAGCGCAGTCAACGGTTTCTTATCTTCCTTGACAAACACACTGTAAATTGTTAAGGTGACAATAAGTAACATATGAGGGTGGATGAACTACAAGATAACCGTACCGTAAATCGTAAGCAGAAGAAGAAATGTTAATAAATAAGTCACAACAATAAAAGAGGGCTTGAAAAAACTATATGGTAGTTCATCGCATTCATGTCTCAATGTTCCTTTGGGGAGACAGGACAAGAAAGGAGACAAATACACGGAACTTTTCACCCGAAAACATAGCGACTCAACAATTAGTAAGAGTGGCGGATTTTAGATGTCGTTTACACATTACACATAAAACAGACCACCGAGATGTACATCTTTAAGTATGCAAATGAAGCTTACAGAAGAAAATGGACGATGCCTTTCCGATGATAAGTTAACACACACAAAATCTTATTTCTAGGAATCCCAGCATAACAACCGTTACGACAATGCCTAATCACTATAACTATATTCTGTGAGATTACAGTTTATGGAAGTGCATATATTCATTTCAAATAAGATGATGTAAAATGTGATCATGCAGATATTCACACCGCGAGAGTTGGGAAACAGGACCTTAACATAACTCTTTTTAATCGAAGGGGGTTAAATCTATTACAAAATATACGTCCTTCTAGACAAGTTGCAGCCAAACGTATACGATAAGGCTGGTTGATTAACTTCAGTTACATGCCTGAAAAGGCTCCTGCACCTTTCACAATGAAATCAGGATCTACTCTCATGGTGTGGCGTATGAGGCGACCATAGTAAACTGAAAGTGCAGTAACAAAGTACATGGAGAGTGACATAACTTGTAATTATAGCTCTATGTAAGTAATGTAAAAGGTTACAGTTATTTTTGAAATGGTAGAACTTGACCAGCCACTAAGTTATTAGAAACAAACAATGGCCTTTATGCAGTTCACAAAACAGTAAGTGAGCAAGGACAGACCTTTGGAGGATAAAAACAAAGGCCCGCTTTTGTAGACCTGCAAAGCCAAATTAAATCCATCAGCCTTGCATCCACTTTTGTACACATGCAAAACTGTTTTTGATGAGGGCACACGTTATTTACTGATAGTATAAATATTTGTTTCAGGTGACGAACTTGGAACAATCTTCCAGTTATAACGTACTACCATTTTAAATAATGAACTTACACGTGTATCTTCCAATAAATATTTGTTTCAGTTGCAAGTAGTGTTTATAAGTTACACTCAATCTGAGTTACACGTGATATGTTTGGTCAACTATGCATTATAGTTAGTTGTGATTTAGTTTTTAGTCCACTAATGTGTACATTCTATGAATCGTGTGATGATCCGATTTCATGTGTCGATTCATGTTAGCTTACCCGAAACTCTTTTGCGACAGGCTTGAATAATGTTGTATTCTACTAAAGGAAGGTTTTATAAGGTGTTTTTAGTTTTTATAAGGTACAACAATTAAAGTTAGTTAAATCGTCCTTAAGGGTGTTGGCTGTAATCGTTCCTTTGTGGAGAAAAACTAAAACATTTATCAGGGAGTTGTGGAGAAAAAATTTCTAACACAAAAGCTGACTCTAGTTTTGATGTTCTAGCTCCAATGGCGGACCCAGTAAGGGTCCCATGGGGTCCCGGGACCCCATGCACTTCAAAAACTACCTATATATTATGTATAATTTTTATAAAAATTCAATCGGGAAGGCAGTCAAATGATTTTTTGAAGATAACTGCGCAGTTAAACAGCGCAGTCCATTTCGGAAAATCATTTGACTGCCTTCCCGACTTAATTTTTAGCTGAAATTTGATATGGGTAAACTAGACTTAATGAAGAAGATGCTCAAAAAATTTCATCAACAAATTCTACCGGGAACCGCTCCAATTGACGAAGACCGGGCAGAACCTCCTATATAAGGGGCTAATTGAACACTTTAAGTTAGTTCATGTACCTATTTGACCCTTTAGCCTAAAAATAAAAAACTAAGATATACACGTTTGGGAACAAGGACGAGTACTTCTTAAAGGTTGGGAGCAAATACTTCGTATATGGATAGTAGCATTTGACGATTCCAACTAAGGGGAAATGATGGTTCCGTCTGGTATTAAAACGTTTGACAAACTAAGGTACACTAATTTTAGTTTAAAGTACAAGTTTGCATTAGCTTATGATTACTACTAACACATTTTTCATACCCAAACTGTCCTTACCTTCATTCACCTTTATAAGATTGTAGAGATAGAGATATACAATAATTCAATAATTTTACACACATTACACCTAATTAAAGCTAAGGAAAAAATCGAATTTCATTCACCCAGAACATAGATCAACAATAACACACACATTATTACACTACAGTAACACACACAGTACAAGTAAAAGGAAAAAGTTTGTTTGCTTGTGTATGATAAAGGAAACACTTGTAGTTCATCCACATATACCTAGCTAGAACGTACATTAACAATAATAGAGATATTACAAGTTAATTAAGGATTCAACAGGTATAAATACACAAATTGGATATATGAAAGATACTAAAAAGGGACTAAACATATAGTCATATTTATGCACTTTGATTAACTGTTAGTACTATTTAAAGCAATTATTATTATTTCGTCCGGTGAAGCTAGTCGTTGGATCAATGACTCTTCATGGGTGAGACGGGGGAGATCAAGAGGAGCTTCCATGGCGTGACGGGGTTCAAGCGATGCATAACTTCTAGGCGTTTGCAAAACTCTAAGGAATATGTATTCCACAACCTTCCCCACAACCTGTTTTGCGTCCCAGGACGTGAGATTTGAGCCAACGGCATATGTTGTCGGAAGAATACATAGATAGGCGTTTGCACTTTGATTAACCTTTATGTAAAATTAATACAAAAAATTAAAAAAATTAAAAAAAAATCTCAAAACTAAAAAAATACTCGTTAATGATTAATACTTGATTTAAAGCAACACATCTCATTCGTTATAAAATTTGGAGCCCCATAAAAACAGGCTATGCTCAATCGTATATTTGAGAGACGAGTATATGTTTTGATTGAATATGGATTCAATTTTGAATTTTGTTATTTTGAGAGACGAGTATATGTTTTGATTGAAAATGGATTCAATTTTGAATTTTGTTATTGAGAGACGAGTATATGTTTTGATTGAAAATGGATTCAATTTTAAATTTTGTTATTGCATGCAATAGTATCCGCATTTGACGAAATGTGGCATTTCATTTGCTATAGACTTGGATATTATTAATTAGTGCATCATGCAAGGCTTCTATTCCCATGCTTTTTTCTCATTCCCAACTTCTCTCGAGGTTTTATCTGCATCATTAATAGGGAATGAACTAGGTTTCAAGCTTTTCCTTGGAGGTATTACATACTCGAGCAATTTGATGTAGCTAGAAAACACTATCACTGGCACATGTTTAAATAACTTAATTCAATTTTAGGATAAATTTGGACTGGAGTGCAATATTTTTAAATCTGGGATTGAAATAAGACATCCTTAGCTTAACTAAAGGAATACGTAGTAAAAAGCAATACGATCATTTACTAGGCTATTATATGTGATACACCTATACTACTATATAGCCATATAGGGAGTATTAAGTATACATATAGAAGTTGAAAATTGCTAGATTATTTGGGCATTATATATTGTAGTCACGTTTTTTTATACTCATTTCTCACATTACTATTTACATGAGAACCAAACTACATATACGTAAGTTTGGAAGATTGGCCAACGGTCGTCTCCCGTTCGTAGTTTGGGTTCTCCAACTCAACAAAAGACCAAAACACACACTTGGCCTAGCTAACTAGTACAAAGTGAACAGCTAGGTATTTGATATACATAGCAAACGAGTACTATATATTTATGAGTAGACCACATTCTAGTACTAGTATATCTTAGCATTATTTTACTAGTCCGTACTATTACACGGTATAGGAAGCATTGAAAGAGGTATCTTGATTGAGGCCGGCCGCCGCCGCCATAGTAGCCGCCACGCCACCGGGATGAGTAAAGCCTTCTTTATTCCTGGCCTCCGCGCCCACCACCGCAGCCGCGTCCTCCGCGGTCACGCTCTTGTCATCCAGAAGCTTAGTACTCGCATCCTTTCACATTCATTTAATTTATTAGTTCATAATTAAGTACAGATCCAGAAATAAAATTAATGGAGAATAATGTAGTTTCAAACAAATCCTATAACCTCCGTCCCAATGGAGTTGCCACACAAATTAGTTAATGTAATAAGACACTGACAAAGTTTATTTGGAAAATCGAAAATGAAAAATTGTCAAAGTGGGACGGACGAAGGAGTATTTAATTTCTTTTTGTAGGACTAATTAATTAATTCCATCAAGATTATACTTCACATTGAAAAAAGGACATCAAATGAACTCTACATTAAAGGACAATGACTACCCCTATTACTTATCCGACTTTAATTAATTTAAGCACTGATTTTGTTAGAGAAATAGGGAGTATTAAAAAACGTTTTTTCCCTTACAAAAACACTTCGAAAAAAAAGTGTATTACCGTGAGAACATCACCGAGCTTGGTTTTGAACTCATCCCTCGTGGTCCTAGCGTTGAGTGTGGCGGCGCGTTGAGCTTCCGCTCCTACCCCGCCAGGCAAAACCGCTCCAAGACCGGTTGCTCTGACTTCCGCCGCCTGTATAGCGGCGGCGTCACTTTCGTCCACCGGTTTGTCCCCTGCGGAGATAGCAGACGCCTCAAGGGCTTCTCCAATGGTGATTCCGTCACTCACTATACCATGCTGTGGGCCCCCTGGAGAACGCACCTTCTCATCTTTTGCATTTTCCAATGGACGAACATATCGCCCCACAATCTTGAAGCATACCAAAATGTCAATTAATTATTGAAAGTTTGAAACGTTACAATTTAACTCCAAAATTAATTTAACTTGCTTTTTTTATTTTTAAAGTCAAACTTGATTGATATTTGAGTATTATCATTCAAAAATCAACACAAAATATTTTAAAAGTGTCTTAATCTCACAAAACGTAACACTAGAATAATTTGAATAATTAATTGATACCCTTGTCTTGAAAAGTTCGTCATCTTGATACCTTAGTGATTATATTTGTATATAATTTATAACTTTCAATTGAACGGTTTTAATTGAAAATCTTGAAAGTACGGAACATTTTGAAAAGGAGATTTATTATAAGGCTTAATTAATTACTACAGTAGTATATTCTTACATCTGCTCCGACAGCTTCCGTAACTACACGGTTGCCGGCGATGTCAGTTTGGGAAACAGAGACGCCGCGATCTCTTACGACGTCAGTGACATCATCGGGCTTAATGCCCGCATACCGGACATTACGATCGGCGGCTGATTGCATGACGGCGGCGGGACCGCCCTTCTGGCACTGGCCGAGCGTGGTGGTCTCGGCAGACTGCATGGCGGCGGCGTCTTGGAGAGTTATGGGTTTGGAAGCCAGCTCGTCGGAGACGCTGAAAACGTCTTGATATTTGATGGGCTCTTGGAGAACGTTCTCCGGCCTTCTTGGCTGTTGCTGGCTCATTTTTATTCAATTTGGAAGTGGTACGTTACGTTTGGTGATATAATCTTGTGTGACAATATTAGGTGGCGGAGAGGGGTTTTTATAGAGGCGAGCCGGCGGTAAGAGGCGGTGGCCGGTGGAGTGACAGATCATAAGGGTGGAGTCACGTTGAAAGAAACGTGTTGAGAGCACAATGCAACACCTCATCCATAAATAAATTACGCAGTACGTACTCAATTGTTCCAGCTTCTTCTACTTTGCATTGCATGCCAATCAATGATAGGCGATTCTGGAAATTTTGGCCACGGATTACGAAAATAACATCAACGGAAAATCATAAAAATAAAGTTAAATCATCCAATAATTAAACATAATTAAGATTTCATATACGAAGTACGTAATAAGAAAAAATTGATGTGATAACTCAATAAATAAAATGAAACCTGTATCGATCGATTAAGCCAAATTGAATTTTCAAATCATTTTGGCAAAGAAAGAGAGAATACGATCTTTCGATTTGTAGGAATATAATATGAAAATATATGTACATTCGGTTTAAAATTTGTAAGGTACGTCTCCGATTCGTTACACATGCACTTACGGCACCTCAATAGGGTTCAATACCTCAAACCTGGTCTTAATCTATAAATACACTTTCCACATTAACTTCTTTTTAATTACTCCGTATGATTTAAAAATGTCCCAAACCGACCTCTAATTAATTAAAAAGTACACAAATTTTCAGAAGGATTTGTCATGCAGATCCTTAAAATGTGTCATGCACATCCTTAAAATGAGGAGATAAATAATCTCATCTATCAACGTTCTTCCAATATTAAAGGAAAAGGGACAAAAACACCCATAAAGTTGTCAACAAGGAGGACCTATACCCACAAACTTAATTTTTGTGCAAAAAGCTTTAACAAACCAGAAAATAGGGCAAAAAGGCCCTTTGACTAACGGAAACAACTTACGGAGTATTATAACATCCATACGTTAACTTGCTCACTTGGCTATTAATTATACTGGTCGTATAAATGACAATGGGAAAAAGGGAACACACTAAATTAATGTATATATCTTTATTTGAACAAATAAACACTAGAATAATGCAATGGTTTGAGATTTAAAATACTTATTTCATATAAAATCTCAATTTTATAATGTTTAATTTATATTTAGATGTTTTTACTTGGACTGTTTTCATCCCCGATCAAACTATACATGACTGAAACAGACCAGACTTAAATAGACCATACCGGATCAGATCAAGAAATACAGTCTAAATAAAAACATCCTTACTAGATAATGAGTACTAAATATCGTAAAATATCAAGCACTGTCAAATACTACCTTCGTCCCCAAAAACATTGTCTTATTTAAAACATTGACCAACTATATAATTTGGGGTTTTTACAACAATATTACTAAAATAAAACTTATTTACATAAATATGACTATTCATTACTACAACGTAGTGTTGTAGTAACTTAAGTTCAGAACTTGAACATGAATTACTATGATTTCATTACTACTTTAGTAATTAATCATATTTTTGTAAATCATTTTTATTTTGGTCATATTAATGTAATTATTTCATATAATTTTATTAGAAATTAATTATAAGATAAAAAAATATGATACATAAATGTTTTATTAAAAGTACTTTCGCGAAACTACAAAATACTTACTCCGTTCCTTTTTAATTGTAATAGTCAACTTTTCACACTTGTCAACACACAATTTTGACCATTAATATCTTTCATTCCTTATCAGAGAAAAACTAAAAAAATCGTATTTTGAAAATTTAAAATAAGGGTCACATAAATATATTTTTTAAAAAATTAATGTATAATACATCTATAAATAAAATATAGTCAAAAGTAGCCTATGTGAATAGTACAAAAAATTCAATGTGCTTGTAACACTTGAGATTTAATATAAACGGATTAATAGTACTACTCATACCAACAAAGGTGCATCTCCTTTTAAGGAAGCTCATCACCTAAGAACTCCAAAGTTAAGCGTGCTTGCACGGGAGTAGTCTTGGGATAGGTGACCCCCTGGGAAGTTGCTCAGGGCGCGCATGAGTGAGGACAAAGTGCGCGGTAAAGGCTCGTGGTGGTTTGTGAGGACAGTACTATTGGTACGGAGTAACTGCCTCGGGTCCTGCGGGGCCGGGGTGTTACAGGTAGTATCAGAGCAACCCCGTGATAGTGTGATGACCCGTTGGATATCGGGCGGGCACTTAGCGGGGGAAGATTCTGGGATTTGATTGAGATTTGAGATTGGTTCAAGGGCGCAACGAGGACGTTGCGATCCTAAGTGGGGGTGATTGTAGCACTTGAGATTTAATATAAACGGAATAATAGTACTACTCATACCAACAGGAGTGCATCTCCTTTTAAGGAAGCTCATCACCTAAGAACTCCAAAGTTAAGCGTGCTTGCACGGGAGTAGTCTTGAGATGGGTGACCCCCTGGGAAGTTGCTCAGGGCGCGCATGAGTGAGGACAAAGTGCGCGGTAAAGGCTCGTGGTGGTTTGTGAGGACATTACTATTGGTCCGGAGTAACTACCTCGGGTCCGGTGGAGCCGGGGTGTTACAGTGCTAATTATAAAAGAACGGAGGTAGTATATAACTTCTTTAAGAATCCGCATTACATCAATCAAAATCATGGACCAAACTTTATGAAATGACAATTTTTTTTAGACGAATCTAGTACCTGAGTACCACACACATTAATTAAACAATTTTCAGACAATGTAAAGTGAATTCAAACGAGTGAATTTCTCAAATATGAATAAAATATGAGCTAAATGCACATAGAACCCGGTGTTTTAGATTCTCTAAATAGGGTAGGGGCATAGGGGGCGATCGTCCCTTGCGCTGTCAAAATTTTCTATTATATATAATATTTCATAAAATATTCATACTTCAAATACATATATATGTATTCGCCCCTTTTGCAGGGATGTATTTATGGAATATTCTCATAAAATATTCATAAAAATTGCAATTCAAGAACGAGTTTTGTATTCCGATAAGATTCATGTTGTTAAACAAGACAAAGATTTTTTTTATCATAAAAGAGTGGTTGTTATATTAAAATCAAGAACACATACAAGACAACCTTCAGATAGAATTCACAGATCAAATCATGAACCCTCGGAGTAAACTTAGAGTTAGTCACCTCATACAAAGCAACCTGACTTGCTAAGTCTGAAACGGGCAAATTTAGGCCTAAAACGATCGAAACTGAAACCCTGCCTATCAAAAGAATACCAAAAATCCAAACATCCAAAGCAAACCTACTCGGATTAAAATAAAAACCAAGTACTACTAACGAGAAAATAATGTCTTTCCACAAAACTCTTCAAAAAGTAATGATAGATGTGTATCATATATTTTAAATTCTTTATCTTCAAATAATTTCATAAAATGTTATATAAACTTTTTATTTTCAGATATTTTTTATTTGATTCTTTTTTCTAGGGGACTTCAATTGTAAAATCAAAGATATTTTTCTATAGTCTAAATTAAGAATCTACTAGTAATAGATTTAAATATCGTCGTGTATGTATTGATGGAATTTGTTTTTAAAATTAAAAAATAGCCGCAGAGCTCTATAGTAGCAGAAAAATTTTGCCCCCTTGACTCAAAATCATGGATCTGTCTCTGCCTATTTGTGCAATTATGCTTAGGTTTAGTCTTGTTTAGGATGGTTTCCCAATTCAAAGTACAAATATTTGTGTGACATTAAAATTACACATTCATTTAGTTCCGATATTTTGTTTTGAATTTTTTATTAAACACGTAAAAAACATTAAATTATTCTAGCATTACAACAAATATAAATTGTACCATCTATAAAAACTCGAAACATTATGTTAATCTAAAATAAATATATTGTTGGGCAAGCACATATGATGATTTGGGTATCAAAATCGGGTGATTTACCAAAATACGGGAATTCTCAACATTCCTTGCCAAATCACGGGGAAATAATTAGGGTTTCCAAAAAAGCGGGAGTCGGAATTGGCTCTTCCGACTAGAGTTAGGGAGCTAAAAAAAGAAAAGGTTGGGCTAGTGGTCGGATACACCAATTCCGACAAGGTGTATATTTTATTTTTTAAATTCAGTTTTATTTGTAATGAAGTGATTTGAAAAAAGGGGGCTGAAAAAAGTTCCGATTTTTTAATAAAATGCTTTAAATTCCGAATTGGCACCATCCCTTTGAATGATTTTTTTGAATTAAACGTTTGCATATACTCCGTCTAAACGTTTGCATATACTTCATGTATGCTATGATGTTTCACTTAATAACATATCATAATTACTCTAAGAAATAATGTCAAATATATGAACAAATTGAATATTGTGGATACAAATATGTCTTTTCCTACTTTAATGACTATAACTGTAATTTGAATGTGCATGATTGTAAATGAATGGTATACGCATGTTAACTTTTGTCTCCTTCATAAAAAAACTTTAGTCATATTTAAGTTTACTTTAGTATTAGTATGTAGTACACAAACATATACGGCCTGTATAAAGCCAACCGAACATATTTAACGGATGCATGTGTTGTTAACTTACTTCCCTGAAAAAAAACTTACTTCCGTTAGTTAAAGGGGTTATTTGCCCTCTTTTCAGGGTTTTTAAAGACATTTGCTCAAAAATAAAGTTTGTGGGCATAGATCTCCTTTAGTGTCAACTTTAGGGGTGTTTTTGCCCCTTTTTTCCGATATTAATCTCAACTATGGGTAATTCTAAAATAATCCAACTTAGATATGACATCTTTCCAAAATAGACCCGTGACCGGAATTAAAAAAATTAACAGGTTGCCTTGTCACGTGTCTCAATATGATTGGACTCTAGATATTTATCCCTTTTCCTTTTTTTCCCTTTCTTTTTCTCTTTCTTTATTTCTCTTCTCTCCTGTGCCAGTGTATGACACCCCTTCTTCCTTCTGTAACGGAACATTTCCTCTGTTCTCCCATACTTCTAAACTTCTTCTTTTTCTTAATTTCTTTCTTGCTTTCTCTATATCTACCTCTTACATCTCACCGTCTTCCTTATTTCTAAATTTTCA